TCCGAGTGATCTTCAATACACTGTTGCCAGATGAAAGTTTCCTTTTAGTTTCTGAACTACAACCACAACAAGCAGTTTAAAACTCTGGTTTGTTTGGTTTGGTTTGTTTTTCCACATTAACACTGTTCTGTGTGGTATCTTCCATTTGGAGGAAGCTCAGTGCTTTATAAAAGGAGCTTTTACAAATTTACTTTAAAAGAGTAGAAGTAATTTGATTAAGCGTATTAACTTGTTAGCGGTAGCTGCAATGAAGAAGAACTCAAAAGGCCGTGTTTGACTTAATATTTGGTGCCCACTAAGTTCCTATTTGCTCATTCTCATTTGAAGAACAGATTTTTTGGAACAGTTTATGCACAATAGGACCACAGAGCAGCCACTGCATAAATGAATAAATAAGTACCTATTAAAGCTTGAAATATTTGATATAAAATGGTAGCCCTATCTATGACTCTGCATGCAGGGGCAGTCTTTGCGCTAGGGAAAGGTAGGCGTTCAAGTAAGGCCACCCTGAACCAAGGGCCCTATAAAAATACACATTTGTTAAAAAAAACTGTTTGAAAATAAATATGCCTTTTGAAAATAGCTGTTTTCTGTGACTGTAGCAATATTTTTCAGTAATTTCAATTCCCAAAACTTTATAATGCTGCTATACATACTAAAGTAATGAATGCACTTCTAATGATGGTGTGCCATTTTGACATGCTATTTAGCACTGGTGTGTACAGTTTTGGACTCAGCCTTGGAAAATCTGATAATGTATCTTGAAGGTGGAAGTAAATTCTAAAGGACTACAAATGCATTAGGGTGGATACTTGGGGTTTGAATTTGCTAGCTGTATTTAGCCTCAGAGCAGGTGTTATTTGGGTGACGGATCATTCTCAGCACTGATGTGGTGCTGGTGTGTTAGTGTGTGTTGTGCTGGTCTGAGTGGATCAGACACAGCAGTGCTGCTGGAGTTTCTAAAGACCTCAGTGTCACTGCTGCACTGAGAGTAGTCCACCAACCAAAATTATCCAGCCAACAGCGTCCTGTGTCCTCTTGTGACCCCTGATGAGCAACACATGAGCTATCATCTCTGGCTTTACATGGACAACATGGACCAACAAGGTGAAAGTGTCTAACAGAGTGGACAGTGAGTGGACACAGTGCTTAAAAACTCCACCAGTGTCACTGCGTTGCTGAGAATGATCCACTGCCCAAATAATGCCTGCTCTGTGGGGGAATGGGGTAAAGGGGGGCTAACATAGAATGCAGAGAAACAGATGGACTGCAGTCTGTAATTGTAGAACTACAAGGTGCACCTACATGGTTAATGGAGTTGATAAAATGGACAGTGAGTGTAGATACAAGTTTTTAATGTTATGGCAAATCTGTGATTTATTTGAAGCTTAATTAAATCTGTAGTTAGGCAGATAGTTAAAACATTACTTTTTCGTAGTGTGGCCATTCCGGTTTAGCCTTTCCTAGTCCTCTCCTCACAACCTATACCGGTCTTGAACAGCTGGTGGCACTTTTGGTACTGATTTTTACTTACGTGTTTGTCAGACACTAGAGGGCGCTCCAGAGAGAGTTCAAAATGAATGGGCTTTTACAGATATTTTGTGTAACACTGTAATTTGCACTTAGCACGTTTGTGTGAGGTTATATACCAAAATTAGAGACAAATTCCTTTACTTAAATATTTTCCAACCTCTCATTGTCTCTCTTTTTGACTGTTTCTGTTCCTGAGTCTTTAAGACTGGTATATGTAGGCCAAGTTATCTCTGTTCTGATTGGCCGTCCTGTATATTTGGCAAAATACTAATAAATTAATATTATTTTCAAAATCGAAACATTTTACATACACTACCACACAATTTTCCAAACAGTGTAAGATGGGAAAACAGTTCGAAATCCAACAGAGTCTAAATAAATAAATAAATAAATAAATAAATGTACCGTTTCCACACTGGGGCAGATCTGAGCCCTGTGAGGAGGTCACCTGCTGCTCTGCAGGCCATCAGCGCTAGAGGGCAGTACTCTCCACAGGATCAGTCGTATGTAGGCCAGCGCTCAGCCAAAGAGCGGAGACTTCATCATGAGGGCAGGGTCTCCAGAGCTCAGGCTCACTGCGCTCTGCCTGGACTCTCACAGCAGTGTCATCACTGACCATGATAAGTAGTTTTGTGCGCGCGCTGCCATGTTCAACAGATTTTGTATGATTTAGTTTTTTACTCCTGATGACGTTGTTTTATCTGGCAGGCTGAGCTTCAGGCTGCTGTGTGCGCGTGTAGACCTGTTTTATAATTGAAGTCTTTTTTAAATTATCGAGCAGAGTGACGCTCACAGTGACCATAACAGTGTCCACAGTCAGTGATTCATTCACTGGCGGAGGATAACACCGCTGACCGACCGGCTCAGACATGAACAGCAAGAGCGTAAAAGAGCTCGAATGATGTTGTTGTGAGGAAAGTTATAACGCTATAAACTCTCCACTTTTTCCTTTATTGGAGAGCACGAGAACAGAATCATTTACCCAGTGACGCTCAACAAAATATGGTTCTTCAAGGGTTCTTTAGTAAAAGTAATGGTTCTATTTAGGACAATGAGTTCTATATAGAACCATCCCACGCTGAAATGGTCCTTCGGTTAAACGGTTCTTCAGACTGATGTCGAGCTTGTAACAAAAGCAGAACCCTTTTAGTACCCTATAGAACCATTTTCAAAAAGATTCTATCTAGAACCACATGCAGCACATTCTTTATCAATCTGAAGAACCATTTCACCATGAAAAGAACCATTAAGCGTGAAATGGTTCTATATAGAACTCATGGTTCTAAACAGAATTAATGAATGGTTGTATGAATGAATGAATGAATATGCTAAAAAAATTAAAACAAAAAATTCAGGTAAACATAACATTTTATTTCTCGGCTTTTCTGAGTGAGCTGAGTTTGAAGGTGTTGCTGAACTCCAGTTGAAAAAGTAAGAAATAAACTGTCTTAAAATGTTAAGTTTACCTGAATTTTTAATTTTTTTAGCATATTCATTCATTTATGAAAAGCTGTGCCTTAAACTTTTAATTCGACACCGTTTTTACAAATTAAAACAAATAAATCAATACACGAAAATGAATAAATGATCCATTTATTTTTAAATCGTTTTGAAATAATGCTCGTAGGCGAAATTTGTTTGTGTAAACAAATGTCAGTCTTTTTCTCCTTTCTTTTTTTCTTTATTTTGTTTATTTGTGGTGTATAAATTTTATATATTTCACTCCTTCCAGGCGTTTCTCTCCCGCACGGTGAGGTGAGGCTGGTTCGCAGGGCCGTTTAATCCGACCTGTTTAATTAAAACCGAGGAGAATATTAAGGAGAAAAGTAATAAAGATATACACTCGCAGTATTATTGCCCCGCGATACACATCGCTGAAATGAATTCGCGGAGATTGGGGGGATAAAAGAAACGCCTCCTTATGAATTTTGCATGCACAGTAGACATTATGCTGAGAGATAAAGGAGACGGACAGATTAGCCGTTTCATTTGAAGCCCATTCTTATATCGCGTTTTATCTCTGCCTTTATTAATCATGTAGATATGTCAGTTTCTAAAGCTAAAGCGGACCCCCAACTCACCCGCCCCCCCCCCACCCCAAACCACCCACCACTAGCCGCTCCTCAGCTGCAGCTCTCGTGCAGGTGCGCGAGAGGAGCAGAGGATTATTTATGAACCTACACAAAGACCCCGAGTATAGAGTTTGTTGATGGCTGAAACAAATAAAAACATTCTTTTATATATATAAAAGAATGTTTTTATTTGTTTCATATATATATACGACTTATAGAGGAAGAGCTGCTTTAGAGCTGATTAATTCAACGGGAAAGACGTGAATAAAAATAACAACAATAATAATAATAATTATATATATATATATATATATATATATATATATATATATATATATATAGATAGATAGATAGATAGATAGATAGATAGATGAACTAGGAAAGGGTTCTGTAAAGCTACATCCACAAAAACGTAAGCATTCATTCGTTTCCATTCATTTCAATTGTTTTGTGCTTACAGGGGAATTCCACCGACTTTTCTAAATTTCTCTATAAATTCAATGGTTGACAGTCATTCAGAGTTGTTTAATATGAAGTGGGTCATTGTAGAGAAACTTACTGATTTCTTTATAGTGGTGCTGATAGGAACCAGGGGTCACCATGTCTACAACACATTTAGCCATTTTACTTACAATCCAAAACTAACAGCCTTCTGAGAGATTATATGTAATATTTATGACGATAAAACAATGATAAATCTAAAAAAATACGTTTACTTTTGCCTTCCAACGTCCTGCGTGTACCTCTCCACCAGAATAAGTTTCAAATATGTGTACGACTTAGGCAAAAACTTTATTTTAGTACTATCACAAAACAATCTTTCAAACATCAGACAGTGTATTCATCACCACATCATGTGATAGCTTTCTGAGAGGGAGCTTCTAAAGGCGTTGAACTCTTCAGACCTCTGGTGAGCACTGTGAACAACTCTGACTCAGTAAGTTTCTCTAGAATGAAACATTTTAAATCATTCTGAATGTCTCTGGTTCCATTTTAACCCGTTCATTACCCAGAATTTCTTTTAAAAGTTGGTGAAGTTTCCCTTTAAGTCACATTGATTAACATTCACCACCATTCATCATTTCCCCACCTGTTTTTCCGACAGACCCCGCCCCCTGCGCGCTACGATTGGCTAGTAGTTCGGACTCACGAGCAAGTGAAACTACAAGCCAATCCCAGCGCAGGGAGGCGGGGCTTTGAGGGACCCTGCTGCGTGGGTGGGTAGGCAAATAAGCAAACAAACAAACAAATGAATAAATAAATAAATAAACAAATAAAGCTGGTGGAAGGGGGGGGGGTAGAAAGTGACGCAGTGGGCGGGTGGGAGGGATGCTGCTCCTCGGATAGTTCAGCCTCGCGCTCGATCTGCTCCACTCGCACTCGCAGTCGGTCACAGCAGCGCTCAGCTCTGGATTTTACACCAGTCGCCAGTTCGGCTGTGTTTCTCTGTGGACGCTCCGCCGTCTCCCTCCCTCTCTCCGCGTGCCTGACCGCTCGAGACAGTTTAGAAAAAGCGCTCGCGCCGGAATGACAGTGTCCTCGTGAAGCTCGTCGATGAAGCTCCAAAACAAGCTCAACAAACCACTGAAGAGTCTTCGCTGCAGCGACTGCACTGCTCTGCTCTCCATCCCGCCGAGCAGAAGCCAACTTTCCTCTCCGTCCTGCTCAGAGCGCTCCGAGCGCTGCGCTCCAGCACACAGTCCGCTCAGCTCAGGTGCTGGTCTATGGCCAGCGAGGCGGATCTCTGGTCAGTGCAGAGGTGCTTTTCCGCGGACGGTCAGTCGTCTTGTGTCAAGATGTTGGACGGGATCAAAATCGAAGAGCAGTTGAGAACCGGACCCGCCGCCTTAGGAGTGATGCTCGGTGAGCTTTTATTTATTTCAGCACGCGCGCGCTCGTTCTGCTCCCCCGGAAAGAGCGCTTAGTTTTCATTCGCCTTACTTTTAACAGTAATCAATAAAAGTCCCTCCAAATGTAATAAAGGACAAAACAGTATTACAGTAGGTCAGTCTACGCACTTAAAAAGATGGTTCTTCAAGGGTTCTTCAGTAAAGGGAGTGGTTCTGTTTTCTCTATATAGATCCATTTCGTGCTTTAAATTGTTCTTCAGATTGATGGAGGATGTGTTGTATATGTTTCTTCGAAGGACCTTTTTGAAAAAAGCACGAAAAAAGGGTTCTTCTCTCATTACAATGTCAAGCTTGTAACAATAAAAGAACCCCTTTTGGTGCTATATAGAAAAGGTTCTATACAGAATCATATACAGCACATTCTCCATCAATCTGAAGGTACATTTCACCACGTATCTAAACATGAAATGGTTCGATATACACTCTTTAAAAAGAGTTAAACAGGTTCTTCAAGGGTTTTTTTTTTCAGTAAAGGAAATAGTTCTATTTAGAACCATGAGTCATATATACACTCTTTAATAAGATGGTTCTTCAAGGGTTCTTTAGTAAAAACAATTCTATATTGAACCATGAACACTCAAAGAATCCTGTGCATGATTAAATGGTTCTTTGCATGGTGAAAAGGTTCTTCAGATTGATGAGAATTTGCTTCATACAGATTTTTTAAACAAATTGTTCTATATGGCACCAGAAAGGGTTCTTCTATTGTCACAAACTTGACATCGTAGCCATAGCAGAACCCTTTTGGTGCTACATAGACTATTTTAGGAACCATTCTTTTTACTAAAGAACCCATGAAGAACCGTCTTTTTAAAGAGTGTGGTTCACCAGTGTACATGTCCATTCATTATATCGGTCATATCTCCTTGTCTGAGCCGCTGTTTGGATTGTTTTCGTGCGTCTAATATGTTTAAATGTGTGTGTGTGTGTGTGTGTGTGTGTGTGTGTGTTTGTGTGTGTGTGTGACCCAGCAGGCGCTGAATGCCATCCTCAGAATGTATGTGCAGGATGTCAGAGACCCATCTCTGACCGCTTCCTCATGCGCGTGAACGAGTCTTCCTGGCACGAGGAGTGTTTGCAGTGCGCCGTGTGTCAACAGCCGCTCACCATGAGCTGCTACTGCAGAGACCGGAAAGTTTACTGCAAGCAGGACTACCAACAGTAAGAGGACACTTTTACACTTTTACATAGACTTCAATACAGCGCCTGTACCAGAACTCACTGCATCATCAGCACTGCAGCCGAGCCAGCTCATTGTACTGCTGTTACAATCACAGCAATAATAATAATAATAATAATAATAATAATAATAATAATAATAATGTGGTCTAAGTAATGTATTCTCTATTATAATAATGTATAATGCTTGTAGCAGCAATAGTATTGTGCCGTTATCGTATTGTTATCTTACTGTATTATCAACACCTTTATCGGGAGCAGTAATGTAAATACAAATTTTAATGTACAAATACATTTCAAAGTGTAAACATCAATTAACAAATTCCTGTCCACTTTTATTACTAACAAAAATAGTAATAAAAATTTTCTGTTATTATTGTATTATTTTCAATATTTTTAGCAGCAGCAAGAGCAGACAAGGAATATTGTAGTGAAAACAAGATGTTATTTATTAAAAATTAATGAACATTAAACATTAACAAATTCTTGGTCACAGACAGCAACAATAACAGCAATACTACTACTACTACTACTACTACTAATAATAATAATAATAACAATAACAATAACAATAACAATAATAGTAATAATACATTTTCTATTATATTATTGTATTATTAGTTAATTATCAATTTTTTGTCAGTGGCAGAAGCAGAGCAGTTGTAGTGTAAATATATAATTATTAAAAATAAAAGAACATATTTTTAATTATTCTAAAATAAGGTAATTTTTCGACATATTCTAGCAGCCTAATTGCAAATATTATTTGCGTGTATTAATTTTTCTTTCACTAAATAATATCAGTATTAAAATCCTCGAAATAAAATAATCTTTTTTAAAATAATTTTTACATTTTTTTTAAAAGTTAATAATGAAGTATTTATAGCTTTGTGGACTGTGTGTGTGTGTGTGTGTGTGTTCCCTCTGCTGTAATGTTATGAGGTATAAGTCTCGGTGTGTTTGAGCGGCTGTGTTGCTGGTTCAGTTCTGTGCAGTGACCGCTGCAGTGTCCGGTGAGGTGTCTCTCAGTTCTGTCTCGCGCCGCATGGCTGCTCTTCACGCCTGTCACCAACTTTTAGACGCCCTTTGTCTCGCGCCTTTAAACACGGTTAAACATGAGCGCGCGCTGGTAGAGGCCTGCTGACGGACAATGAACGACATCCGTCGTGTCGCGCTGCTGCGCTTGTCAGCTTTTTTCCCGTGCTCGCCAGCAATTTGGCGAACAACTTCATTTTCATACATTTCATAGAGGCTCTGTTCTCCCGGGAACGAGTCTGGAGCCGAGCAGAGCGGCAGAGGCTGCACGAGACCCAGTTTAATCTCCTCCGTGCTGAGATTACAAATGCCAAACAGCGCGCGCCGAGCGCTGGACATCTTACTGGACCACTTTTATTCACGAGCAGCCAGCAGAGCTCAATCATCAGGCGGTGTTTTCAGTGTTTCAGTGTGTCAGGGTCAGTGCTGTCTTTCTGAGCGCGTTGTCTTTCTGAGCGATATTAAACCGAACTCTGAACATTTGTACATTAAACATTAAACATGTAAAGTTATTCATCTAAAAATATCCGCTTATTTCACTGTGAGGCTTTTGGTCCTGAGTCAGCAGCGCGGTTCAGCTCTGTGTAGGTCAGATTTGTGGAGTTTAGTGGTTTGTTCAACAGGCTTCATTTCAGAGAAAGGCCTACTGCACAGGAGACTCACTCAAACCACCATTACAGCTCTCAGACTGGAGCTGCGCCTTCAGAACATCAGTACTGTGTTTGTGTTTATTAGGCATTGAATTGTTCGCAGGTAAATATAAGGCCATCAAGACTACCCCTCTTTATTTATTTATTTATTTATTAATTTATTTATTTACAGTTTCTTATTTTGAGTTTTTCACTTTTCACGCTCGATCTCGCGTTGCTTTAGTCGGGTTGCATTTGTAGGTTATGACGGGCTTTTGGTTCTGGCTGTTTGACTTAGGTGGTCCTAAGGTGGTTCTATCTCCAATGTTCACTCAGAAAGAAAAAAAAAAGAAGTAGAAGAACCGAGAGGTTCTTACAAATAGAATAGAACAGAATAAACTTGCAAATAGAAAATATGTCGACATTAATTGTAAACGCAATAAATAAAGAAAGAAAGAAAGAAAGAAAGAAAGGAGTAACGGAATAAAGGAATAAATAAAGAAAAAAGAAAGAAATGAGTAAAGAAAGAAAGAAAGAAAGAAAAAGAAAGAAATAAAGAAAGAAAGAAAGAAAGAAAGAAAGAAAGACAGAAAGAAAAAGAAAAAGAAAGAAAGTATATGCGGGCTGGACTTTATTGTAAAATTTTAAATTTCTATTTTGAATTTGTCGTGATAAAATGGAGCACACACAACGATTTTTAGCGCGACATCCTGTTTATTTGTTTATTTGCTTGTTTGTTTGTTTGCTCGGAGCGCTGCGGCGTCTTTAACGCTGTTCAGGGTTTAGAGTCCCAGCAGAACCTCAGCAGACAGTAAAGCGTGTCCGCACTTCGCGCTCAGGATCTCGCTGAGCGGTTGTGGTTTGTAGGAGCGGCGCTTTTTACACTGATGGGATAATAACTGACCCTGATTAGCACATCTGCCCCAACAGACACGAGCTCCGATCAGCGCGAGGCTCTAATTATCCGCGCGTAAATCTCCGTAAATACACCTCAGCCTGCACTTCACACGCTTTAACTCTCAGACAGCCGCCTTTAACAGTCCTGCACACCAGACTCTCTCTCTGTTTCCATTTAGAAAAGCTTCTTGTTATATATATATATATATATATATATATATATATATATATATATATATATATATATATATATATATACTTTTTGATTAAATAAAAATCTGTCACGTTTGTCAATTAACTGTTTGTAAGATGAGGATATTAATACAAAATTCAAGAGCTGTTGTGTACCAGATTGCTTGAAAGTTGAAAATCACACCCTGAGACGGAATTCCAGGAAAGTTGAAAATCACACCCTGAGACGGAATTCCAGCACGCTTAAAGGGGGATTCCACCGACGTTTCAAAATTTCTGCATAATTAAATCGTTCAGAAACAAAGCCAATCAGGCTTCATTTCAGAGAAATTGATGTGAAAGCTCAGTTCTAGAAGAACTTGATGTGATGGTGATGGGAACCGGACGTCTGAAGCGTTTGATCCTTCTAAAAGCAACCTCACATATATAGTTTATGCATGACATAGTTCTGAACACGCTCCCTGATGTCTGAGAAATCGTTTTTTGTCGGTCCTAAGAGGTGTAAATTGTATTACAAGGCAAAACGTCCTTAAAGAAAATGTATGTTTTCGAATATTTTATACTACTATTTTGTCATAATTAACATTGCTAGTAAATAAAATGGCGAGATTTGCATTATATATGTCTGTAATTTCAATCGTGTCCCCTGGTTTCTATCACCATCGCTGTAAAGTAATTAGAGGCAATACGTTTCTCTACAATGCACTGTTTCACATCAAACCGCTCTGTATGACTGTTTACATTATGGCAGTTGAATTTTGGAAATTCGGTAGAATTTAAAACGATCGTTTCTGCTACTCAGTTTACAGAAACAACTGCTTTTCCTCCACCACCAATGAAAAAGACCAATGAAAGATTTGTTTAACTGACGTATTATATAAGGTGAATATTTATCTCTTTGATGTATCAGAATATCCAGCTTTTTTAGAATAAAATTTACAAAACCATGACTAAGAATTTTCTGTACACTTTAAAAGCTTTTAGATTGTGTAGGTGGTGGTATGTATGCTTTTGAATGTCAAAATCAGATTTTCATGACAGAAATGCAATATATATATTTCATATATGCATAATTCAATTGTGCAAATCGTGAAGTTGTGGAAAAGTCGTTCAGAGTGGGGTTTGATGTGAAATGGTTTAATGTAGAGAAGCTTGCTCACTCGTATTTCTTTACAGTGCTGACAGGAACCAGGTGTTGAGCTGTCTACAACAAAAATATGGCCATTTTATTAACTAGAAAAAATTAGTTTTCTTTGGGGACGATTTTACTGTACAGCACCCAGCATGTACCCCTCTGCCAAGAATAGCTTTAAAAAAGCATTTCTGGGCAAAGCCTTCTCAAATCTATCATGTCTCAGGCATAACATACATATTTCATGTAATACATTTTTATGAGCGAACTTAAAGAGACATTAAACTCTGCAGACATCTGGTTCCTATCACCACCACTGTGAACAATTCTGTCTTGGTAAGTTTCTCCATAACAGAGCATTTCATATCATACCACTCTGAATGCCTTTGATTATTAAATTGTGCTTAAATTTTGAAAAATTCTCCTCTAATGCACTGAATTCTGGAGCCATTTGAACATGTAAAGCTTTGTACTTTCTACTTAATGATTCTTTACGTTCATGTTCAAGAATTATGGCCATATATAGGTCAGATGTACATGTTGCAACAGACTTCACCAATAAGTCCGTCATCCACCGAATAGTAGTAAGTACGCATGGCCTATGATGCAGGTTGGAGTCCCGTATAGGTGGTTTGCTGGCTGTGGCAGGAGACAGTTGTTTGTGTTCTGTGAGGAAAGTGTGTCAAGGTCCTGTGATGGTGCTTAGTGTTCTTCTCCAAGAGCTTGTTTGTTGGCATATAGTTCTCAATGTTTGCTGGGCAATTGGTGGTACTTTTTGCACAAGTGAACATCATACGGCATTTGGGGCTCCACATTTGTATTGAATATTGATGCATTCATTTTAGTGACTTTTATATCCTCATGCATGCTATCAAGTAAAGCAGAAAAAACTAATTTGAGTACATGAGAATTTCCCCATGTTGTCTAAATGCAGCATTGTTGCCTTGAATCAACCTTAAAAAACAATAATCGCTTATATTTTTGTAGACATTCATAAAAGATTCAAAACAGCACTCAATGCTACGCTGTCCTGACGTGCTTCTTCGTGCCAATCCTGACTCTGTGAGTAAATTCCAGCAGCATGCGTGCCAACAAAC